GCTAATTTAATTTGATAATAAGACATTTTAGGTTTTTTTTGTTCCACTGCTCATGTTGATTCCTCTCTTTCTGGCGTACTAGAGAAATCAAGAATCAATCAATCACTTAATATTTTCTGACTTGAGGGGATTTCAGAGACTTAAAAGTATTAACTAAACCTTTAAGGGTCCTTACCCTTGTAAAGAGAGTGCTTTGCAGCTTTTTTTTTTTTTAAAAAAAAATCAGATATGAAAATTCTGCCAAGAAGAAATTATGACAGGTTGTACATGTCTATGGAGATTCTCAGTCGTCAGGTCATGGTTGTTCCAAAGATGCTTTTTCACCTTTGAAGTCCAGTTGCCTCATGAAAAAGCACCTTTGGGACAGATTGTACAGTAAATAGCATCAGGTTCTTCAAAGACAGCAGGTTGTATTCGGATTTCCTGAAGTTGATTTTTCACAGCCAGAATTATATTAGTTTTCTTATTCTTTCTTTCTTTCTTTCTTTTGTTCCTTTTGAAGAATCTTGGTCTTCAAAAACTACCATTCAACACTCATAAACATCTGTTAACTGATATCTTATTAGTGCCAATGCTCAATAGATAAAAACTGAGTGACCTATTAAATAATCTTGTCTCCTCATTGCCTTAAATACCTAAAAAAATCTTTTCACTCTGCCACAGAACAACTTTAAAATTTCACAACTTTAGAACTTCAGAAGGCATTTCATTAATTTTTGTGGGTTGTACAGACATATAAATTATGTAAATAAATCAATAAAGTGTAACCATGACTTCCTCAGTTAAAAACCTGGAACAATTCTACTAGACTTACCCAGAACTCATGCATCCTCCTAAATCTACCCAGTATGAACAGTATAGCCAATTTGGGAGTAGCAGACCTAAACCTGGTTGGCTTGCTTTTGCCTGAGCTATGCTAGAATTCCCTAAGAGATTTAATGCAATTCTGCATATATTTTGCATCACCAGTTGCCCAAAAAAGATATTTATATCACCTTCTTGTCCTCTAGTGCCGTTGCCATCAATATATGTTGAATGTGAACATTTAAAAAACTGCATTAGTAGAATATTTATTGGTTTCAAGACTTGCTTTTCAGTAGAAATATGTGCAGTAAGTTCTTAAAGATCTGGCCAGAAGCCAGAAGCAGAAATATTTATTGATAGACAAAACAGTCTGTGGGAAATTCTTTCTCCAATCTCTGAAATTAAATTTCAGCATAGATCTGGACAGTGAAGAAGTTATAGCTCCTAGATGAAACTCTGTTAAAAATCCCAGAAGCTTCTAGCTTTGGGATAGAAAATATGAAATGCTAGGACTTGTAGTTCAGCAACATCTACAGCAGGGATCCCCAACCCCTGGTCTGTGGACCAGCCCCAGTCTGCAGCATGCCAGAAACCGGTCCACACAAACAAGTGAAGCCCAATCCGTAGGATGCAAGCAACACGTGAAACCTACAGAAAAACCTCTCTCCATCCGGTCCCTGGTGCCCAAAAGATTGGGGGGCACCAATCTATAGGACCAATATTTTGTCATCCATAATCTGTAATGTAGGGAGCTGTCTTCTTTGTAGGAACTTGTAAATCTTTCCATAAGGGAAGCTACAAGAGAACTGAGGGCAGGAGAGAAATGGCAAGAAACATGGACTCCATTCATTTCATTTTTTCCTGCCTTTGTCATAACATTTAAAATGGCTTTCAGTCTCCTGAGGAAGGAGTCCATCCCCACTGTGACCCCCCACTCCACTCCTGGTTGGTGCTGCTTAGCAAGAGCATTCAGCATTTGGGGGGGGGGACAAAATAATAAGCTTTTGCCTCCCCTTCTTGTTTGTTACTGTGTGGAGTGCTTAAATTGATTATTTAATGTGACCTCACTGTACAGAAAACCTCCATCAAAACAGAAGTCCAGAAAATAACAATGGAGGACAAAGTGTTTTCATCATCACCTTCCTTGAAAAATGCACCTGATACAAAGTAGAGTGTCTAATCTGATTTTCCTGTAAATAATTAGTGATGTTGGAAGTAAAGTACCTCTTTTTTTCAGGTCACTGAGTAACTAGCTTCCTGGGCTGAACCTCTGAATCAATGGACTCATTGCTAATTCAGAACATGCTGGAATCTAATTACTAGTTACCAGCACCATCAGAGTCATTTCTTAGGGATTGCCTGCCATTTTATCCTCTCCAGTGCCACTTGTTTTCCAGCAGTAGATGCAGAGGAGTGAACTGAGCTACATAAAAAGAAGTGGACACTCAGAGAGCAGTTTAGCCAGAAATTAAACAAGGGAAAAGAATCCAATTCTTAAGCTTGATGCCTCATTGCTGGTTCCTGCAGTTAGGTGCATCTTGCACCCAATAACAGATGTGGGGATGCAGAACAGCTTGATTATTATAATTTGGAGTTTTATGGGGCTAGCAGAGGGGCAAATACTCAAGTAGCCCTTGCTGAAAATTAAATTAGCACCAGCCCCCAAGAGTTGATTGCAGAGTTCTCTGCCTATAGTGAGATTACATTTTGACACATTTTATAGGGTTTTTACATGAAATTGCAGCAGCTTCATTTCCTTCTGCAGTGATCTGGATTTTTTTTTTAAAGGTTGTGCTAAAAATCTTTTTTTTTTTTAAAGTAATTTTTCCCCTTCTACAGATAAGGCAAGATCTGTTCTAAGATTCAGTGGGAACAAGATGCAATTTGAATTGATTGCGGGTTCAATTTGAGAAACAAGACCATTTTGATGCAATGGGAGAATCATCAAAGTGCCTTGGGCTGCTTCTTTGGGGAAGGGGATGAAACTGTCTGGAGAGAGAGATATAGTAGAACCTTAAATTAATCAAAAGGTACTTTTAAAGATTCCTTGCCTTTATTCCGAATTAAAGAAAGCTGGGATGAGGAAAAGAGGGCATGGGAGTTTCCAAATGATTCATCAAAGGACTTTTAGAGAATTAACCAAATGACTCAGGTTAAATACCAGGTGAGACAATGAATATGCAGGGCTGTTTTGTTGCCTTGCTGCTCTATTCCCTTCTTGAGAGCAGATTTGCAATTGAACTTGGCAGAAGGCTCTATATCAGGGGTGTCCAATCTTGGCAACTTTAAGACTTGTAGACTTCAGTTCTCAGAATTCCCCAGCCAGCCATGCTCCACAACTTAAGTCTTAAAGTTACCAAACTCCTGCTCTATATTCTTATATACTGCTTGTATTCAAAGGAGCAGAGTGTATACAATCAATCATTGACAGCCCCACAGACAATTTCTCCATATTTTCATTATTTGTATCTTTTTAAATCCTCAGTGCTGACTAGTTACAAGTTTCTGTTCCCATGCTAGCAATTGTGGAGAAACATCTTTTACATTTTGCCAGGATGCTGACAAACTCCAGATAAATTTTGGTACTCGGTCAAGATTAACTATCCTATGATTTTAAGCTTGATGTTTCTTTCATGTTCTTTAATTTGGCATTTTATGAAATATCCAGTTTCTCCAATAGTCCCCCAAATGAGAAACAGTTCTATATTATTATCTCATGCAACATTTTGAAAGATATTTCACCAATAAATGGCATTACTTTATTACTAACAAATAGTATTACTTGAAAGTCAGTTCACTAATAAATAGCCATGAAAGCCTTTGGCTTATGGGTAAAAGTCTACAGATTTTGTCCCAAAATTCAAGTTACAAATATACATTTTCAAAAACAATGTTTTAAATTTATATTTTCTACTTTTTAATCACCCATCTCCATCAGAATTTTGAGTTGGCATACCTATAAGAATTAATCACTTACAAAGTTAGCTTCTTCTAGGAAGGATATGTTGTGGATCATTCATACAACTTAAAAAATAACCTCAGAAATTGCCCCAAAAAGTCATAATAATTTTCCTTGTTTATAATAATTCTGCTACTATTATGCTGATACCCAGATTACAGAAGCTCCATTTTTAAAATATGATGATCAATAATTTCTAGATTGTAATCCATGGGTTGTGGGTTGAACTATTTCCTAAACTTTTCATTCACTTGATTTTTTAAAAAAAATCTCCCTTGGGATAAAGAAAGAACAGGGAAGGAAAAATGATAGCACACGATCACAAGTCTGAGGGAAAACCAAAGGCATTTCAAGGTGTTTGGTATATGTTTCAAGTCAATAAATCAACATTCCTTTTTGAAGTAAATTAAAGGAAGGATCAATCAAACAAATAGGCATATCACATTTTCCAGGATCATTCCCCCTTCCTCACATAAATCAGACTGAATTTAATCAGATGAAGACAACCTAATTTCTAAATCTACACTTGTGCCTTATGAATCTTTAGACCACCTTCAGAACTCAATAAAGATTATTCATAAGGGATGATGAATGAATAATGTTCTCATTTTGTGCAGGGTAGATATCACAGGCAACTAAGTCCAACAAGAATAGGGTGCAGCTCCATAAAGAAAGTCCATTCACAAAACATTTTAAGAAGCAAGATGGCAAATCATAATATTAATCAGGAACATATTACAATTATATTTTCAATCTTTGGGTTCCTTTATCCATCTATGGAGAATGGAGGCACAAAGTGGGATCATAGCTGGATTATCTGAGGCCATCTCATTCTACAATTTTTCATTTATATTAATTACGGATCATCTAATTTGGAAGTAAAAATGGATTGTTTGTGGAATATAATAATATAATAATTTCTGCTCAAAGAAATACAAGAATTGGACATCAAACAAACAAAATTATTAATAATTAATTGCAAAAGGCAGGTTTACCTGGAACAGCTTACATCCTGCAACAATATTTTTGATACCATCAAACAACATCTGTGTATCCCAGGACAATAAGTAGATTAAAAATGTCAAATCCAATCAACATCTGGCTGACAACATATGAATCATCATCAACAACAACAACAATATTAATAATGTTAGAAAGATATAGCTTTTTGACCTGCAAATTTAGACAGTTAATTCAAACTTGAATTCTTGAGGTATCCTGGAAGCAATTTACTCACATTCACTCCATTTTGGAAAGAGCCAAGATTCGTGTGCATGTGTGTGTTTGTGTAATCAAGGCAGAGAGCACATCTTATACTCCTGCCTCTTGTTCTCCCCACAGTAACAACCCTGTGAAGTGGGTTGGGCTGAGAGAAACTGCAACTGTCCCAAATCAGCTTTCCTGACTTAGTTTTTAAGCCAAGACATTCCACTACTACACTATATTGGCTCTCATACAAATAGATAATTAATTTTCAGAAAGAGATTATCAATATCATGCAAAACAGATATATGTCCATATCTTCAAAATGGTTCCTTGGTATCTTGCCTCATATAGGACCCTGTCTCATTTCAATAACAGCTTTTATTTTCCTAGCATGCTCTCGTCTCAAATTCTGCCATTGTCTGATGTTGTGGCCTGCCAAATCAGACATGATGCAGTATTCACAGTACTATTTAATCAAATGTTGGTAATATTAAAATAGAAAAGCAAGCCAGAGTGGAAAACCTGCAGAGATAACATAGTGAAATCAAAGAACAAATAGATGTAAGAACAAGGGAAAAAGCAAGAACTCACCAGTATCTGGCATTTCTACAAGTGATTCAAGCAAAAACTCTACTAGCAATTCTTCGGACTTTACCAGTTTCAAAAATGATTCATTCAAGCAGCAACTTTTTCTCAGATTTGCCTGCTTTCAAGAAGTGGGGGCTTGTCTCCCACCATATAATAAAGCACTCTTTCATAATTTTGCAAACCATGCACAACCTGAGCAGTTACAATTATTTGTGGGTGCTTCAAGGTAACTGAATTGGGTCTGTCTGAATAAAAATAAAACTTAAATGTGGAAGTAGTAGTACAGACTGTCAACATTACAGAGCCAACTAAGAGGGGCAGTGAGGTAAATACAGGCATGGTTTTATCTTGCATATATCTCTTAACATATCTCTACCTTACATATACCTATGTTCCTATTAAAATTACAAATAGCTGCTTCAATAGTCAGTAGCTCAAGTTAGAGTCTTACTCTACAGGAACTCAAATCACTTTTTTTAATAATAGCAGGTTTCCTCTGGATGAATCTGTGGAAGTATGAAAAAGAATATCTAAATATACAGTCATTATTATGGATTCATAGGATGCTGCACCCCAACCTGAAGTCATATCCTATGCACTACATTACATTAATCCTGAAGTAATCCTTAAGAATAATGTGGCTTCATTCCATGTATAGATAGTCCTCAACAACAGTGGTTAAGTGAGTTTTGCTCTATTTTACAACCTTTCTTGCCACAGTTGTTAAGTGAATCTGGCTTCCCCATTGACTTTGCTTGTCAGAAGGTTGCAAAAGGTGATCCCGTGACACTGGGACACTGCAACAGTCATAAATACATGCCAGTTAAAGCATGTGAATTTTGATCACATGACCATGGGAATGCAGCAATGGTTGCAAGTGTGTCAAATGGCCATAGGTCACTTTTTTTCCAGTGCTGTTGTAACTTTGAATGTCACTAAATGAATAGTTGTAATCAAGGACTATCTGTAAATGGAAATTGCCTTCTACTAGGCTAGATGACTTACAGTGATATTGTCTACTAGTAATTAGAAGATAGGGGGTGTTTTTATTATTATTATATTATTTGCTGGACATTTAAAGTTTTACTTGTAATAATAAATGACTTAAGTAAATACTATGTCACATTTCATGACATTTAGTTTGAGGCATAAACACTCTTTCAGAGAAGGAAAGCGCAGCTGAAAAAGTCCCCGAATCAAATATTTGATGAAAAAGAATTTTTGTATGTACGGAAAAAATGCATTCACATAATCTCTCTGTCTTTTTAGTTAAGACTTTCATCAAAGCAAAATATATGCTATGCTGTCAATCATAACTGTCTTTCTTATAAAGTGTGGTTCCTTATAATGCAGGTTGGCATTATTCCTTTAAAAATAGTACTCACCATAGAATTTTTTTAATCCCAGAAGGGTTTTTTCCTGAAGAATTTAAACCTAAATTAGGTAACTTGGTATTTTTAATATGCTCTTGTTTTCAAGACCGCATGATGAGTCACTGAACTTTCTATTTTAAATCAAAGAGTTGTAAACTTCATCTCCATATTTAAGAAATATGCATTTTTAGAGTGACAGCCCACATCAAATCAAGACACTTGATTGCTTGAATCAGAATGAAATAGAACTATATTGAACAAAGCCAACAGGGTTGAGTTGCAAAAGCTCAGATGACCACTTATACGAAAGCAACAAATTTAATTTTTCTCCATCTCTTTTGTGTTTCTGTAGTGTTTAAACCTGATTGCAGTTTTAAGCAGTAGTGAAGTTATATGGTTGAAAGATTAATGCCAGAAAAATCGAATTTAATTATTTTACAGGTAGTCCTTGACTTATGACTGTAATTGAGCCAACAATTATAGTCAAAAGTTCTGACAGCCATTAAGCCTGGGATTTTGCATGATTTTTTGCAATGGTCATTAAGCAAAAATGCTGGTTGTAAAGTGAACAGCATGGTCATTAAGCAAATTCCATAGTTGTTAAGTGAACCCATTGATTGTTGTGTATTTTTTTCTGGAAACTGGAGGCAAACACCAATTTTTTTCCACAGTTTTCAGAACATACTTCAGAAAATAGTATAATTACTTTTTGGAATAAATAAGCAAGTCTGTTCACCAGATTAATCTGAAGCCCAGTTCCTAAAACAGATTGGAAAGTTAGGAACAGATTTTCATTTAGCAGAGCAGATTTGTCTCAACCTGTTCCATTTTATTTTTCTGGCCTCCACAAAGCCTCAATCCCAATCTGTTTCTTTTTTTCCCCAGCGCTACAAATGACAATATTGCAACAGCTTTACTGAAGGAGAAGAGATACTGAACTCAGTGCATGATGGATAATTAAAGGGAGGCTTGCAACAAGCCCCCCACCACCACCATTAGCCACCTAAAGTCACCTTTGGTGAGATGGGCAGCATACAAGTTTGATAGATAGATAGATAGATAGATAGATAGATAGATAGATAGATAGATAGATAGATAGATAGATAGATAGATAGATAAATTTGATAGCACTGACAACTTCAATCACATTTCCTGAAAAGTGGAAAAAGACCTATAGTGTTACTACTTCTTCTGTGGTCTTTTCGTTATCTAGTATCTCTTCCTGAGGATGAAGTGGGCTAGCTAACCAAACCTAGTGGCTAATTTATTTGATGAAAAGTAAGTTTTCCTAATTTAGATTTGTATCTTCCAGGAGTTTTAGGAAAGGTATACTTTCCTCCAAAGAATCTTATAACATAAATTAGTCTGGAAGAGAATGGCTGAGCCAAAGTCACCTTCAACGATTGAGATTGGAGTTGAATTGAATCTTTCATCTGGGCCCAACACCCTGACTTCTTTTATCTCTCATATATTTATCTAAACTTATACAGCTGTCCAAGTTGATGATCCACCTACATCTCATGATAGCAAGTTCTGTACAGCACATTGGCAGAGACAATGGGTTTATCCATTATAACTCTGCAACAAGTTCCAATTAATATCAATTTCAATACTTCCAAAAAGAATTAGCATTAGCCCCTATGAACATTTTACCCTTGGACAAAGCCTCACCAATGTATCTGTCAGTAAGAAAAGCTATTCAAGACAATGGAGGCTATGGTCAGAGAACAATTAAAACATTCTGCCCAGAAGTATATTAAAAAATAATCAAATTTTAAAGAAGCATCACTTGGAAAACCGCTGTGCTCTGCTCTCTCTCGCTCGCTCTCTGAAATCTGGCAAACTTAATCTGTGTTTGCAAATTTCCTATTAAAAATTAAACATTTACATCTTGTTCATTTTTTCCCAGGCATAGGAAAATAAATTCTTATTTTTCAAAAACTTTGTCTGAATCCCTGACTGGATTGAGCTTTTTCTGGAGCTCATGTCCAATAGTTATTACACAGAATATATACTATATAGTATATCTATATAGCAAAAAATAAACATGGTAGGTAATGTGAAAGGATTCATATGTGCCAAATGTTGGAAACTGTTTTTTATTTTTTTCTTCCCTATTCCTCGGTTCAGAAAATCACATAACATGTGGTTAAAAGTCATAAAACTATTGCAGAATGGATTTCTCAGTGCATGCAAAGAATTACTGATTAATCATGTTCCTGTTTGCTAGATTCCTCAAATATGGTTGTGGAAACTTATTGAGATACCTTCTAATTATATAAAGTTATCTTTTAACTGAATCACTTTTCTAAAATTTAGATGAAATTGGGTTATTTCATGATTTACTACCATGGCTAATATTACTTGATTAAAGCTGGGCTAGGTTGGTTTCAACAAGATAAATGTGTTCTTTGCAGAGATAGTTATTTGAAGAAAAATACAAGTAGCCCTCGACTTACAGTCATTCGTTTAGTGACGGTGCTAAAAAAAGTGACTCATGACCATTTTTCACATTTACAACTGTTGTAGCATCCCCAAGGTCATGAGATCAAAATCTGGACGCTTGGCAATTGACTCATATTTATGACCATTGTAGTGTCCGGGGTCATGTGATCACATTTTGTGACCTTCTGGCAAGCAAAGTCAATGGGGTAAGCCAGATTCACTTAACAACCATGTTTCTAACAACAACTGCAGGGATTCACTGAACTGTGACAAGAAAGGTGATAAAATGGGGGAAATCTCATTTAACAACTATCTCACTTAACAACAAAAATGTTGGGCTCAATTGCAGTCATAAGTTGAGGACTACCTGTATTTTCTGGGGGGGGGGGGAAAGGAGCCTCCCTTTCTATTTGACTTACTTCCCAAAATAAATGTGCGCAAATGAAAGAAAGTCTAAGAAAAAGAGTTGAAATACAATCTCTGTGTGAAGAAGTGCAAGACATTTTACTCCAACTTGGATCATTAGTTGCATTCAATTTTTATAATCCATTAAATAGACCTGCAAAAATTAGTGTAGTTTAATCTATCCATGATCACTTTAACCCCATTCAATTTTAGTGGGTCAACAGAGTAGCATTACGTGGTCAACTCACCAATGTGGAGTTATCCCATAATCATTCTCTAATAAAGGGAATTTTTGCACTGTTCTGTTCACTGTCT